TTCTTTCGTCTTTCTTTCGTTCCTTCTTTCTTTCTTTCTTTCACAAAATTCCCCGTGAAATATGTATCAAGGCACTAAATTGTACTGTTGATCGCAGGTTTTTGTGCATCAATCGCACTGATGCACAGGTGGAGATATTCCAGTAAACTCTGAATAAATGACTCATTTGATACTAGTGTTAACATAATTCAGACATCCTCTCATACTAGTGTTAATATAATTTTTACTCGGCCTGTATTTACAGTCAGATAAAAGCAAATCTGATTATACAAAATCTGCTAGAAAATGTCTATGAAAAGATTGTATTCAAATTCGGGTGATCTGAGGGGAGAGACGGAAATTAATTCCCGAACCTATGTGAAATATTCTTTGGATCAAAGAAAACCTTGCCTTCACAATGATTGACCGGTAATCTGAGAAAAAGACGGAAATACATTCGCCAGCCTATGTGAACTTTGGAAACAGTAAATACCTTTTCTCCACAGAAATTAGCGGTTGAGCCCATGATAAAGAAAAGAATGTATCGAGCCAATGCGAAATTCTTTTTGATATTTAATAAGGAGAAACTTTATAAGAGAAAGTCTCTGAAGTCATATGAAAGGTTTCGTTTCTGTTCACCACTTCCAACATTAAAGTTCTCACCACGATCAAATAACTCACCATTTATATTAACCCAGCACGCGGCACTTCAAAAAAAATCCTTCAACGATTTAAGAAAACTAAGTATTTCAAAGTATCTCTCTTCGTCTACATTTGAATTATGGAACTGTACATCACTTCTGGGAGCAACATACTCTCTTTTGTTTTACACATTTTTCTATAGTATTTTGTGTTAGATCATTTAATCCGTTGTATGAATATTTCCTCTTCATGGCAATTCATTAAAACTGTGGACTTTAAAAATGTCTGATTTATTTTCCTGAAACGAGCTACTGAATCGACTTGAATCATGTAATTTCATAAATAAACTCCTTATGTAATTTTGTTAGAAATACCCGTGTGTTTTCTCGTCATTATCATCCTTCGTTAATCTTCTTGACATGTAGAAATCTACTGTTCATTTTAACCCAAAAACTCCACGCCACTATAAAACTTATGCAAGACCAAACACATTTTATCAGCTTATTCTTTCCTTTAATTAAAAATTAAGATTCATAAGAAATTTCAAGAATTTCCTCGGCATTATCATCCTCTGTTAATCCTCTTCAACTCTTCATTTTAACCCTAAAGCACCATGCAACTATAAAGAATCTATAACCAATAAAAATTTTGCTTGATTCATGTCTGTAAATCTGAACACGTAATGTCTATTTTCCTTTCCTTTTTCTAAATTTATTTTGCGCTTTTTTAAAAATAAGATTACTACATTGGAAATTGAGACTAATGGTATTAATGAAAATTGAATGACTTACACGGATAATTGCGTTATGACGCGCGGTAGGAACGGAACACTGTTGTAAATCGATGACCTCTTGTATTTAAAACACTGAAGTAAGTAATGGTTCATCTATTTTATTTGAACTTTCAGTAGTTTAATTTGATTCTAAATAAACGATAACTTCGATGCAGAGTTTTATTCATAAAGAATTGCTATCAAATATTTTATCTGAAATTTAATTTAATATTCTTTTCTATTGCTCCTTCTAACAACGAACATATTGATTATAAAATTTTGTTTTTGATGAATAATTCGGGATTTTCATCCCGACTGTTATATTTAAAAATACGTTAAATTTTACCACCCCCTCTGTAAAAATAAATTAAACGTCAATTTCCTCATTGCTAAATTAATGAAAAATGTTTGTTTATTAAGAATTTTATCACAGAATGTTAATGTCATAAGTAACTTCAGTAAATTTAATTTTATATTTTAAAGCTGTTCTTTAAACTATATCACAAAAAATGTAACAAAAGAAAACAATATATTTCTGCGGTATAGTTGAACAGATTGTAACTGCCAAACTCACTGAAATTGTCATTGAAGGATCTACAATGCAATAGATTCTGACTGGGCATCTCAACTTCAGTGACTTCCTCAAAGACATGACGTCGATTCCTTCTGTCTTTTATACTCATGTTTTCATGGTAACTGCTTTGACATGCTTTTTTCCCTGGTGCCCTGACAACAGGAATTCAAGCCTACTACTACTTTTGGCATCTACGTTCCACCATTTTATTGTTTAAATAGTTAAATGCAACCACCACTTTTATTCCGCCTGTGGAACTCGCTTACCTTCTTCAACGATAAATACAAGTTTGAAATGCAACGTCAATTATCCTATTCTATCTTCTTGAATTCCGTTCATCATTTATCTTTTCCTCATTCCCCACCTAAATCCAGAATTTTTTCCTCACTTTCACTCTCTGCAACACCCTGCGGACTAGCAGCATTACCGCCTTGGGTGAAATGATAAACACACACACATCTCTATATATATATATATATATATGGATTCAACCTTGATTCGAACTCGGCTCTGCGATTCCTCAATCCAAGCCGATATCCATTACCCCACCGTGCCTCCAGGTTGAATCCATTACATTCACTTACGTGCTAATACACTTGAGAAAGGGTGTGAATCCTCTTCTTCTCCCTCCAGTTATGGGTTAAATAGCAGGACAGACTCGGTTCTATAGCCTCGGGTGGCAACTGGTCTAGGAGAAGGACAACTCTGAATTCAAAACCTGAAGGGGGTTGTTTGGGGACCTTGTGGCACGTAGTGCCCCAGGTATCTGTATTCGGCCCTTCAAAAAGTGTGGATGGTCCTGCACGAAGCCTTCACCACTATAATCGAATCTCATGTGCCGGTGTCGGGCTGTCAATTTCCTGGAAACTTATCTGGTTGACCTCATACGTCGAACCCGACGGGAGAATCGATATATATATATATATATATATATATATATATATATATATATATATATTTCTGCGTAAGTTCTTTTCAGGTTGATGTAAATTTCGTTTATACAGAGAGATTTTTTTTCACGTGGACAATATTGTTAAATTCCCATGTCTGTTCTGTGGAAAAAAAACAAATTGTTATAAGATGACAAGTGGAAAAAACAAATCTTATTTTTTGCCGACGCGTTTCGTCTTCCGACTTCTACAGGGTAAATATGAAATCAAAATTTTCCAATTGTCATCATATAAAAATTTGTCTTGTCCACATAATTAATATGGGAATTTAACCATATTGTCGACATCGAACGATAAAAAAAAAACCCTCTTAGTATAAAAGAAATTTACATCAACCAGAAAGAGGCTTATGTAGACGCATCTCTCTTTTATAAATTTGTATTTTTTAATGTAAGTATAACAACAAAAAAATTTCAATTTCAGCTTTACCTTGAAAAAGTCGGAAGACGAAACGCGTTGGCAGAAAAATATATATTTTTACAACTGTCATCTTATACCATATATATATATATATATATATATATATATATATATATATATATATATATGGATTATGAAATCTGTTTTATGAATTATTTTTGTATGTTGAATTTTAACATTACCGTTTTTCATAAGTAGAATATATATGTAACGATTACCACAATCAAATTAAGACAATGCGCCGTGTATTAATAATCTTCTCACACCAACTTGATTTATCAATACAAAAAATTTGTTTGTTGATATAGAACAGAAGTGGCCAAAGCGCGGCTCTTTCACCTTCAATATGCAATTTTTTGACCTTTAATATGTGACTTGACCCTTAATATGTGACCTTTTGACCTTTAAAATGCGGCACTTTGACCTTAATATGCGACTTTTTGACCTTCAATAGACAACCTCTCGACCTTTAATATGCGGCTCGTCGAAACATGTTGGCTGAGCTCCTTAAAACAATCATCAGACAAGATTTTGAAACATTTATATATATATATATATATATATATATATATATATATATTTGTGATTACTGCAACCTATACAAATTAACGGGTTAAATCTGCAAAAATAAATACATATTTTTACATACACATACCACTTAATATTTATATAAGATGTTTATGCCATGTTCCGTTTTGTGTAGTCTCGGAATACCCTCGCTACTACATAAAACGTTGTCAATGAAAAGGGCCATTTAATTTTGGCATTCGTTTTATTCAAATTGGCAGCTTGGTTACTCAAGGGCAATAGGAGGAATGACGTCACGGGAAAGCATGTCGAACATTGGCTCAGCTATACTCCGCAGGTGATATTAGCCGCTGGAAAACGTGTGCATGGGAGGCATATCGACGCTTCAGAATTCTTGAGGCCCTCTGTTGAATACGCGCCGTTTTTGATTGATGTTCAAAACACAGACAAAGGCAATCTATCACTGTCAGAATTACCCCGCCCACGAATCACACGGTGCAACTGCTAACCAGTTCAAGTAATGAACTAAATTTAAACATACTGTAACAGTAACAGAAACGTATGTGTAAATTTCGTTCATGCCTTGCCGCTCTCAAACATCTGAACTTCATCGTATGTGACTCTGATATTAAGCAAGTTTGACCATTCTCTCATATAGAACGACAGCAAATTGACACTGGCGCGTTGATTAGTGCCGTTTTCTAATATGTTCTAGACTGAAGCTTTGCTGTGTTCATTTAAAAGTCATACATTTTTTTTTAATGGTGACGTTATGTCTATAAATGAATAGCTTAAAGAAGAAAATATATTCTCTCACTATATTAGGCTCTATGAATTTCGGAAAGAAGTAAATCTTGGGACTGGGAAAAAAATCAGAAGGTTTATTTGAATCGTGCTCTTTGGATTGTCAAAAACGTATTTTGGCAGGTTTACGTTAAGGCGATTTTAAACTAAACCATCCATAACGCTAACGTTTCAAATTCGATGAAGACGCTCTGCTTGTCATCAGGGAGAATACATCGGATATTTCCTCGGTATAAATGCTGACAGTTTGAAAATCGATATCTCAACTGCCTTTCGCCATTTGAAGAGAGTAGGCTTCAAGGAAAACGGCCGATTTTGGCAAATTCAGTAGGTGTCATTTTCCACAACGACAACGCAAGGCGGCATGTTGTAAAAACAGATCTTGCAGAATCATAGAGGTGAACTTGGAAGCCATTCAGTACCCCACCGTATTCTCCTCACTTTTCTCATTCTGATTTACCTATCTTCCGATATTTA